TGTCAACAGGTACTGAATCCCACATTTCTTGCCCCTGCTGTCTTCCTTGTTTTCATTCTTAGGTTTCACTGTGATGGAAATATGACTGCCAGTATCTCTGGCTCTATGGTCTTCCAAGTTCAGGGCCAGTGAGTGGAAAAAAGACCTCTCAATAGTTTAATACAGTTTCCTGGATTTTCACTGACTGTAATTGGATCCCATATTGTGATCAGGGGAATGGAATGTGCTGATTGGCCTGATCTGAATCATGTGAACATACTTGCTGCTGGAGGGGAGTTAACTCTTCAGGACTAATAAAGGGGAGGTGTTTCTACAAGGCCTAAACAAACGAAAAATGCAAAAACAAAACAAAAAAAGTTTTTTGCAGACTACTGTTAAGTTCCCCCCATCCCTGCAACTACTGTTAAGTTTAAAGCAATTTTCTAAGAACACCAGTGTTATTCACAAGAAAAAAAACAACTATCCTAGGGTATTTTTGTGTGTGTGTTGGCATCTCACTATGTCACCCAGGCTGGAGTACAGTGGCACATTCACTGCCACCACAGCCATGGCCTTCTGGGCTCAGGTGATCCTTCTGCCTCAGCCTTCCAAGTAGCTGGAACCACAGGCACACACCACCACACCCAGCTAATTTAAAAAAAAATTATTGTAGAGATGAAGTCTTGCTATGTTGCTCAGGCTGGTCTCAAACACCTGCTCTCAGGCAATCCTGTCATCTCAGCCTCTCAAAGTGCTGGGATTACAGGTGAGCCACCATGCCCAGCTGGTAGGTTTTTAGAAGCACCTGATTACAATCATGCTAATGAATGAGTCTCACTTTTTTCAACTAAAGCAGATGTTTCTTGTTACAATTTGTGTTTGAAAGATTTGTAAAAAAGATAAGGAATTTAAGGTAGTTGAATTGAATTGTGCTCTAATTACATCCATCTGTTCCTCAAATTAAAGCTGAATAGGTTTTAATTTTATGTTTTTATTTTTACTTTATTTATTTGTTTATTTATTTATTTTGTAGATACGTGGCCTTGATATGGTGCCAAGACTGGTCTCAAACTCCTGGACTCAAGCAGTCCTTCTGTCTTGGCTTCCCAAGGTGGCAAGATTACTGGTGTGAGCCACCGTGCCCAGCCTCACCCACTTTGTGTGTGTATATGTATTTGTGTGTGTGTGTGTGTGTGTGTGTGTGTGTGTGTGTGTGTGTGTGTGTTGTAGTCTCACTCTGTCGCCCAGGCTGCAGTGTAGTGGCACGCTCATGGCCACCCCAGCATCGACCTGCTGAGCTTGGCGATCCTTCCACCTCAGCCTTCCAAGTAGCCGGAACTACAGGCGCGCACTACCATGCCTGGCTAATTTTTGATTTATTGTAGAGACGAGGTCTCGCCAAGTTGTCCAGACTAGTCTCTAACCCGCAGGCCCAGGCAATCCACTCACCTCAGCCTCCCAAAGTGCTAGGATTACAGGCTGAGCCACAGAGCCCAGTGTCACCCACTTAAAGCAAACCAACTTTGAAAGCTCCTACAAGGTTGAAACAATTAATAAATACTTTTGTCCTAAAAATTCACTTATTTGTAACTCTGTTAACTGTAACTAGATAAAATAATCTTGTTTCAGTTATTGTTTGTTAAAGGTTAGCATTTTTAAAAATAAAAAGTAGCTTTGTGGTAAAATTGGAATTAATATTACTAAAGATGAAGCTAAGACATAGGGTACAATAAAGCTGTTGTGTACATTTACTGACTTTTGCCAAGATTGCATCAGTGATTCACCCATAAAGAGTTCTTTTTTTTTTTTTTTTTTTTAGTTGGAGTCTCACTCTGTCACCCAGACTAGAGTGTAGTGGCCGCTCCTGGCCACTGCAGCCTCGACCTGCTGGGCTCCGGCGATCCGCCTCAGCCTTCCAAGTAGCTGGAACTACAGGCATGTGCAACCACGCCCGGCTAATTTTTGATTTATTGTAGAGATGAGGTCTCGCCAAGTTGCCCAGGCAGGTCTCGAACCCGCAGACTCAGGCAATCCACTCACCTCAGCCTCCCAAAGGCACGGTTTTACAGGCTGAGCCACCAAGCCCGGCTACCCATAAAGAGTTTATTTCCTTTGTCCATTCCAGCTGCTGGAACATCTTGCATTTTAATCAGTCATGATGTGATGAGAATACTTACCTTAATGTTTCTGAAGTAAGTAAAGGAAAAGGCAGTCATACAGCCAAAGGTCAGTGCTTTATGTATGGTTGGTTAATTTGTGGAGTTTTTTTTTTTTTTTTTGTAGACCCTTTTTATTCTTTATTATTCTTTAATGCCGTAATGTGGTCAGTTTATCCATGTCAGTGGATGATGTCAGTAATCCATCTGGAAACCTCAAGTTTTGTCAGAAGGTGGACCGGGTGCAGTGATTCATGCCTGTAATCACAGCACTTTGGGAGGCTGAGGCAAGAGGATTGCCTGAGCACAGGGTTTGAGACCCTCCTGGACAACTTGGTGAGACCTCGTCTCTCCAATCAATAAAAAAATTAGCTGGATGTGGTGGCATGCACTTGTAGTTCCAGCTACTTGGAAGGCTGAGGTGGAAGGATCACTTGAGCTCAGTAGGTCGAGGCTGTAGTAGCTGTGAGCGTGCCACTGCACTCTAGCCTGGGCAACAGAGTGAGACTCTGACTCAAAAAGTTTAGTCAGAGTTGCCTTGGAGGCTCACTTCTGCTAACTTCTGGCTTAATGCAGTGATTTCTTCAGCAAATATCCTCATCCATTACAGATTCAGTCTCTGTCCAAGCCCTTCACATTGCTTTGTAAGGCAGTCAGTTCTATTCTGATGTATTTGTCATGAACTTATTCTCTTGAGTTGAAGGATAAATCATTTCTCTATCCTTTGTAGTAATAAAGGTGTGTAAAGATCAAACATATCTATAGCCTATAGGTGTAGACACATACCCACATATGTAGGTGTTATATCTTTGCTTTCTTTTCAGATAGCTACTCGTTTCTTATTTACTGCTTTCTTTGTTTGTATTTGGTTACTTAGAAATGTTGGGATAAAGAGATGCATAATGATGAGTTAGTTTATTTTTCTCATAGGGTTGTTATGAGAATTACATTATCACCTGTATGAAGTATTTAGCAAAGTGTATGGCACATAGTAAGCACTTAATAAATGCCAACAATAAGTGCTGGTAATGTTCTCTATTGTCAAGTCTTTTTCTATTAGATTAATCGGGAAAATAACTATAAACAACTAACTGTAATAAATGCTGTAGTTAAGATAGAAGCAAAGTTGTTCTTATTTATCCTAATAAAGGAGCAACTAATTGCAGTTGGACAATCAGGAAGGAGGAATCTTCTTTCCTAAACTGTGAAATATGAACAGGATCGTCTTAAGAGGAGGGAGAGGTATGGTATTGAGGGGTAGCATGAGCAAAAGCATGGAGCTGGGCAAGTGCCTGGTCTTTATGATGGTAGTTGAAGCAGTCACATATGATTGAGGAATTGGGTATATGGAAGATCCAGTAGGAAATAAGGCTGTCTGGAGAGATCAGACTGCTCGATATTTCATTTTAAATATTTTCAGGTCTTTGAGCAGAGGGCCAAGATTGTGATCTTACAGCACAATAGTTGTGATTATTGTGTATAGATCATGAGTTGTTCCCAGCAACTTAAAATGTTGACTGAAAGGGTTAATGAAAAATATATAGCAGGAGAAAATAGTTGCCATACCCAGGGTGTGAAATGGAACCACTGGCACATTATGGGAAAATTAATCTTTTAGAGTAGGCCCTAGAAAAGTTTGTAAATACATTTTAGACTTTTCATACTTAGAGGATTAAGTAATTTGTTAGGCTGCAACGTTCTCTGTCAAAGAATCTTAATCTCTAGATTGGGAGAAAGGATTGGGTTGCTACGTGGTATGTACACGGGAAAGACCTGGGCTCTTCTGGCCAACTGTGCATGCAACTGACGATGGACTTACCTCAGGGGGAGGAACTGGGTTTCACCCTGCAGGAGAGCTTTAAACATATTGTATATCTGGGCACTTGGTTTCTATTTTTAAGTCTCTGAAGATAATTATCTGACACAGGGAACTAGCTTTTGGGGATAAATCTGATGTGTTCAGACTTTTGCATTACCAACATTTCTCTTACTTTTTAAATTTTACAATATATATTTATTTAGAGACAGGGTCTCTCTTTGTTGCTCATCCTAGAGTGCAGTGGTACAATCATAGCTCACTGTAACTTGAACTCCTGGGTTCAAGTGATCCTCCTGCCTCAGCTTCCTGAGTGGCTAGGAATATAAGTGCATACCACATGTCTGGCTAAAACATGGTGTTTTTGAAATAAGATGATTTGACTATCCCATAAGCTTATCTTGTATTTTTGTTGATTTCTACTGTTTCTTGTGAAGCTTTTGCATTTCCAAACTTGTGACTCCAAATAATTCAAGCATTCTGGTTGGAGAACTTGTTAGGAAGCAGAGACCTGGTTGGTGCTGGTGAAGTGAGAATTTAATATAAGCTAACTGTTGGGTTATTGGCTGGATAGAGTGACCAATAAGTTACTACTTTTAGCTTTGACTTCTTTTCCTGATCTGGCACCTAGATTGAATGAGCAACTGGGGTGGATGTATATAACTGCTAATTTTCTGTTGGTATGAGGTGGACTTTTCATGTCTACCAGAGTCCTTCTGTGGAAAAAAGCAAATTACTGCTTGGTTTATGTTCCAGGGCATACTAATTCTATTGTACAGGTATATAGCACTCATATAACACTTATGCTTTTAAAAAATATTTCATATATGTTGTCATTTCATGCTCACAACGACCTTGTAAATAAGATAGAACAGGTTTGATTCCTATTTGACAGAGGATGCTGAGGCATAAATAATAGACTGGGTTAGGGTTTCTAGCTCAACAAATACATAACTGGGACAGCTTATTATATTTCATTTTTGAACTGCAACTTTCAGAAAATTTTATAGGAGGCAGAAGCTAAATGCCTTTTCTTTTTGTTGTTTTTTAGAGGCGTCTTCGACATCTTCGGAACATTGCTGCTCGGAACATTGTTAATAGAAATGGTCATCAACTTCTTGACACCTACTTCACACTTCACTTGTGTAATGCTGAAAAGATATATAAAGGTAAGGGAGTCTCTTGGCTTGTTCCCCACTGGTTGTGACATCTCATTTTTATTGTTTTGTAATACAAGTGATTCTGAGTGCCTTCTGCTAGATTTGCTTCCTGGAAAGCTATATTTTTATGCTGTCAAAATATCTGTAGCAGTTGGAATGCATATTAAAGAAACATGGCTTTTGGATAGTTCTTTCAGATAACTGAACCGTACATTGATAGATTTCTCATTTCTTTATGAATGTTAGCTATTGATGTTCCAGTAGATAGCATTTAAAGTATCCTGTACTAATTTTACTTAAAAAAATGTGATCAGTTTCTTTAATATTGTGGTAAAATAGGGGCCTAGTTTAGGTCTTCTCACACCTGTAATTCCTTGTATATATGGGGTCATTTTAAGAAGAATGGCATCATTTCTTCTAATTCATTTTTGTATATTGCACTGTGGATTCTTCTATAAGTAAACGTTCTAAGAGCAGACCAGATATTTGATCAAAATCACAACCATTTTTGGAATACATATTAGATGAGAGGCACTGAGATGTAATCCGTTGGCTTAGGTGGGATGGTGTAAGAGAGAAAGCATGGTAGAATGACAGGAACACTGGATTATGATTGGAAATTCTGATACTAGTTCTAACCTAGCTATTGACTAGTTTTGTGACTTTGGACAACGATTATGGTTTTTGGAACCTAACTCTTCCCATTTGTAACGTGAAGACAATAATGTCTTAGGAAATAGGCAACACTGATTTTTATGAGGATCAACTGAGATAGTGTGATAACACTTGGTAGGATGTGATTAAAGATCTAGTTATGCTAAAACAAGGTGGCATTATTTTAATAAGTGGTACTGAGTCTTCTTTGATTCTTGTCCTATGGCAAAGATGAAAAATTTAAGTGACACAAGTGACATTTTATCTTTTTAATTTAATTTTTTTTTTTTTTTTAGAGATGGAGTCTTGGTCTGTCACTCAGGCTGGAGTGCAGTAGTGCTATCATAGCTCACTATAACTTTGAACTTCTGGGCCCAAGTGATCCTTCTGCCTTAGCCCCTGAGTGGCTGGATCTACAGGCACGTGTACCACGCCTGGCTAATAAAAAAAAAAAAATTCTGTAGAGACAGGGTCTCACTTTGTTGCACAGGCTGTCTTTTTAGTTTTAATTATCATTGTTTAAAGCAGTAATTGTTAGCAATTTTCTACCTTAAAAAATTTTTAAAATTTTTATTATTTTGGATATGTGGGGTACAAGTCAGGGTTAGGTATACAACTGTTCATTATGCAGGTACCCTTGGTGATGAGGTGTACTCTCCCTCCCCTGACAGTTTCCTGTTACTGCCAATCCCACCCCAAACTCCTGGCTATTTCCACCTACTGCCAATCCCTTTCTTACAGTATTATGATAATCGTTCAAGGTCCACTTATGAGTGAGAACTTGGGGTACTCAGTTCTTTGTTTCTGTGATAGATCACTCAGTATTGTAGACTCTAAGTCCATCCAAGTTGCTGCGAAGTTCATAATTTTTTCCTTTATGGCTGTGTAATATTCCATTGCATATATGTACCACATTTTTTTTATCCATTCCTCTTTCAGTGGGCAGCACGGTTGGTTCCATGTTTTTGCATTGTAAATAATGCTGCAATAAATAGGCATGTGCAAGTATCTTTTTCATAGAGTGATTTGAGTTCCTCTAGGTATATTCCCAGTAGGGGGATTGTGAGTCATATGGGTGGTCGATTTTCAGGTCTTTTAGGAATCACTAAACTGTTTTCTACGGGGTTTGTATTTTTGTTGATTTCTACTGTTCTTGTGAAGCTTTTGCATTTCCAAACTTGTGACTCCAAATAATTCAGGCATTCTGGTTGGGGAACTTGTTAGGAAGCAGACCTGGTTGGTGCTGGTGAAGTGAGAATTTAAGCTAACAGTTGGATTGCTGGCTGGATGGAGTGACCAATAAGTTACTACTTTTAGCTTTGGCTTCTTTTCCTGATCTGGTGCCTAGATTGAACTAGCAACAGGGGTGGATGTATATAGCTGCTAATTTTCTGTTGGTATGAGTTTACACTCCCACCAACAATGTAGAAGTGTTCCCTTTTCCTCTCATCCTCTTCAGCATCTGTTGTTTTTTGAATTATTGGTGATGGCCATCCTGACTGGAGTTAGGTAGTATCTCAGTGTAGTTTTATTTGCATTTCTTTAATGACTAGTGAGGCTGAGCATTTTTTCATGTACCTTTTAAAATTTTAATACTAGTATCTACTCATTAAAAAATTTAGGCCGGGCTTGGTGGCCCAGCCTGTAATCCCAGCACTTCGGGAGGCTGAGGCGAGTGGTTTGGCTGAGCCTGCGGGTTCGAGACCCGCCCAGGCAACTTGGCGAGACCTCGTCTCTACAATAAATCAAAAATTAGCTGGGCGTGGTAGTTCCGACTACATGGAAGGCTGAGGCGGAAGGATTGCTGGAGCCCAGAGCAGGTCGAGGTTGCGGTTGCCAGTAGTGTGCCTCTGCACTCCAGTCTGGGCGACAGAGTAAGACTCCAATTAAAAAAAAAAAATTTAATCAAGACGTATAGAAACCCTGCCATAGTAAATAGTGTTAAAAATTATTTTAAGGACAGGAAAAGGACTTTAAATTCTGTTATGTTCATGTAATTGTATGTTATTCTCATTTTTCATTCTAACCATTGCACATTTTAAAAACAGTATTAATCTGAATGAGAATTGATAACAAATACCACAGATCTTAGTGACTTCACAAAATACGTTTCTTAACTAAGCCCAGTACAGGTGTTCTTTATCAGCTGCTGCCTCGGCAGCTTTCCTGTCTGTGGTGATTCTGGTTGCTAGGTGCTTTTTATTTTAGAATGCTACTGTCTTCAGTACATGGCATCTGGCATGGCAAGAGAGAGAAAGAATATTGGGGGTGCTTTGTAAATGGAAATGTTCCATCAATTCATCACATTCTATTGCTATAAATCAGTTGCATTGTCCTTTTTAAATGGAGAGGGGACTGGGGAATGTAGTCTTCCTTTGTGTCCAGTTTGGAGACTATTTGGTCTGAGGCTATAAGCATTTTTGTAGACCTTAATACATTTAGTCTACTGTTTATCTGTTGGTCATATCACTAGCAATACATGACAATGCAGGAGTTTTTACATTTTTGATGGGTTTCTTTCCGTTTTTCTTTCTTTCTTTCTTTCTTTCTTTTTTGAGTCAGGGTCTTACCCAGGCTGGAGTGCAGTGGCACGTTCAGGGCTCACTGCAGTCTTGCCTTCCTGGGCTCAGGTGATCCTTACACCTCAGCCCCCCATGTAGCTGGAACTACAAGCACAGGCCACCATGTCCAGCTAATTTTTTGTATTTTTGTAGAGACGAGCAATGTTGCCTATCTGACCTTGGACTTCTGGGCTCAAGCAGTCTTCCCACCTTGGCCTCTCAGAGTACCGAGATTACAGGTGTGAGCTACCACGATGAACTTGATGGATTTCTATATAATCATTCCTTGATTATCTTAAAACTTCTGTGTCCTTACTCTAGTATTACCTCTGATAATAGTAATTAGCATAATACTTACCACATTTGAGGAATTTAGAAAATAATAGCAATTATTATTAGAATTATAATGTTAATCATAATAGTAGTTTCTAAAAAAAGAGTAATCATCAGACTGGTTGGTCATGATGTAAAAAACCTATCTGCAGATATGATGAAAGCAGAGTGCCTTTTTAATTTTTGTTTCTTCTAGCTCAGATTACATCTTGAATTTAGAAGTTATAGACTGTTTCTTGACGTTACCTTGATGAGATGATTATTAACACAATTAGGGACTAGCTGGTGACAGACCACAGGGAAGTTCAGAGTCTAGTAGTGGCATTGAATCTGTCACTAACTAGCAGCTTCTTGGGTAGAACTTTTAGTCCCTCTTGTAAGCTTTAGTTAATTTATCAAATAAAGGGATTGATGATTTCTGAGATTTCCTCTTGCTCCAAAATATCATGATTGAATGAAACTTATTTATGAGTTTTGTTGGGCTTTATAACTTGTAACTACCATGGGAAATGCTGGGAAGCCCTTTCCTTCGTAATCCTAGTTAATATCACCTTATCTTATTGGCTGGGCCTGTCATGGCAAACATGAATATTATTTTTCATTAAATTAAATTAATTAATTTATTTAGAGACAGGGTCTTGCTCTGTCACCCAGACTGGAGTACAGTGGTATAGACTTGACTGCCTAGGCTCAAATGATACTCTTACCTCAGCCTCCCATCCTAGAGTAGCTGGGATTACAGCATGAACCATCGTGCCCAGCTAACATGAATATTTTATGATCACTCTTGGTGTAGTATGACCATGTTGAAAGACCAGTTGACTTTTCTCATTAAACCACTTGTTCTAGCTTTTTAAGGGTGTCATTTCTTAGTTTCTTTTCTTTTCTTCTTCTTCTTTTTTTTTTTTTTTTTTTTTTTTT